GGTGTCTTTCAGGCTCTGAAAGCCTGGATCTGTTGAGATGATTCTCCTGCAGTTCCGTGGGATGCTCCTTTTGACACCAACCATCTGCCAGTTCTGGCTGTGCAGGTATAAAGCACGTGTGCCAACCTGACATAGTGTCAGCACTGAAAATCCCCCAGCAATGTGTGTTGTGTACAAACAAAATGCTTCTTTCCAAGTATGGAGGAAAAATAACATTCTGAGAAAAAAAGTCCCCAGGCTCCCTGGAGAGAGAGAAAAAAACAGTAATTCTCTTTCTTGCCAGTATCAAAAGATTGGGTGATAAAGGGAGAGGAAAACTATTATGATAGAAGTAACACATGGTTAGGCAACAAGATACATGGGAAGGGGTTGATAATACCAAAATTCATTTGTACCAAGTGCAGCCATGGTAGCAACACATGGCTACCAGGTCCATTACAGAGGCTGGAAGGGACTTTTGGAGACCATCTATCCCAACATCCCTGCTCAGAGCAGAGTCAGATACAGCAGCTCAGGGCTGTGTCCAGTCAAGTTTTGAAAATCCCAAAGAACGTAGACTCTGCAGCTTCTCTGCACAGCCTGGTCCAGTGTTCACCCACCTTCCGCCAGGCCAGAAGCTTTACAGTTTTCATTTCTCCACAGTTGATTCTCTGATATAGAAGATGTGTATGTGTAGGATAACAACCCTTATTCAGTAGACCAAAAAGGTCTCTTTACAAGGTTTTGGCAACATGATGCTTTCTTGATGACTGAAGTATCCATTGAGCTTTCTCAGATGAAGCAGAGCGACCCTTGGTCCCAGTATTATTCATCTTATTTAATAAAGGATGTTCAGTCGGTACATTCAGGATCAAAAAGAGTTTTGTTAATGTTGGAGGATGGTGCCGATATTGTAGCCAATTAAAGTGCCTGTTCCTACTAATGATAAATGAGTCTGTTGTCAGTTCATTTGGCATTGTGCCTCCAGTCTTACATAATCATTTGTGGATATACCCAAGGGTTTCAATAGCTAACATTTCAACTTTTACAGGTCATCATTCAAGAAAGATGGACTTGGTAAATAATAATCTGCAGCAGAAAACTGGAGGTGGAAAAAAAATACAGGTGATGATTAGCTCTGTAAAATGGGCTCAAACGTATTGGTAGAAGAACCTTTTCAGTTTTATTTCAAACAATGTTCTGTGACAGGAGAGAAGGAAAAAAAATCTGAAGAACTCTGATGGATCCAGTCATGTTTAGCTTTCATGAGTTAATGGCTCATTTGCAATTGAAATTTGCAGTGGTTCTGAAATTGCAGGGAGTGGTCTGAAGCCTGACAGAAATAATAATGACTTGAGACAAAATTTCTTGATAGAATCTGAAGTTCAGCTGTTCTTCTTTGGGGGAAATACAAGCCACAGAATGAGAGCCCCACAGTTCCAAGGTTAGCAGAGAAGCCGATGGCTGGAGGGGAGGGAAATCCAGGGAAGGAAGCAGTGGGCATGAAACGATCTCTGTGTATCTGCAAGACTGCAATTTTGTGTTGTATAACCAAGGCCTTTTGCTTGTCAGCCAGGCACCTGAGCTGAAAAGACACTTCACAAAGTTCTTTGAAGACTGTAACAGCTCCCCAGTTCAGGGTATTTCACATTGTCTAACAATTTCATGTTAATTCAATGTGCAAATGTTGGGATCTGGGTTTTGAACTCTTTAATGGTTACAGTCCTCAGTTAGTTAAGGGACAGGCAACAGAGAGAGGCAGGCAAAGGCAATGGATGGCTCTGCTCGGCTGAATGTGCCACCAGATAAGAAAACTGGTGGCCATGCCCAGCTTGCCTTGTTGCTCCTTCTGATGGTTTTCTATCCATACGCTCATGGATAGAGCATTATGGACCAGCTCTTCCCAAAGACCAAATCAGACCATCGCAAGTCAGTCCCTCTGAATCAACAAAGGCAGGAAAGCCTAATTTTAATCAGCAAATCTCTGAAGTCGATGGAGAGGCACCTTCAGAGGGCAATTCAGAGCAGGAATATAATTGTAAGGCCAGCATTAACCTTTATGACTCTATTCAGCCTTTTCCAAGAGTCAATGGTATTAATTCATAGCAGAGCAGAGAAGACTTTTGTTAAGGGGCAGCCTTGGTATCAATAAAAGTGCCACAGTGTGCTCTCTGTATCACAGAACTGCCATATGTCTCCACTTAGGGGGATTGGGCATGGGGGCTAAGAAGGGAATTGCTTTCCCAGGGCAGGTTAACGTAACAAAAAGTGAGCAGCTCTGCAGCCTTTAATCTCCCTAAAGCCCATAGTCTCAGCCCTCCTATGCTTTAGTCCATGCTATGCTTCATTATGGAGTCTTTAAACACCTAAGCTAAAGATAGAGAAAGTCATTTATAAAGAAAACACAACTTTGGCTCCTTTAGTGGGATTTTTTGAGAAAAAGTAAGGTTCTTCTTGGGTTAAGCTTATTAGATTTTGTAATTTTGTTTATATAGTATTAAAAACTCCAAGTGCTGTGGAGTAGACACCCAAAATGAACATTCAACTCTAGAATATTTAATAACTAAAAATAAATCAAGATATTCAGGATTGGCAGTTTTAAACATTACAGCAAGGGATTTTTCTTCCAAATATGGAACACCTAGTTCCTATTTAGTAAAAAGATCTTACAGTTTTATTTTGATTTTTAATAATAATATTATTTACAGTGTTCCAGTAGTTGCAGCGTCAAGAAGGAAACATAAATTAATGCTTGAACTATAACAAGATAAGTTGAACTTGTGCCTTTTTGTTTTGATTTTTATTATGATTTTTCTTATTATTATTGCTGTTGTTATTGCATTTTTGTTTGGTTTTGGCTTTGGTTTTAATATAAATTTTGTATCGTCAAGAGGTATCCTGTACCAATCTTCTTGAATTTAATTATGTCTGGAATATACTGCTTGTTGTAAACAAGGCACAGTTATTTAACATGCAGATTTTAGTTCAGGGATTTGAAGCAGCCTAGTGGGCTAAGAAATATACTCCATATTTCCATTCATTTGCTCATAGAACTTTGTCAGGACTCACCAGATACCTTTGAATAACCTCGACTTTTCTTTGTGTTGTGATTTTTCTTTTCCTTATTGAATTAATGTTATGAATACTTTAATGGAGCTGCTGGTGGAGAGAAGATACACTGTTTCATTTCCTTCTCTGCTATAAATCAGTGTAGTGCCACTTACATCAGTGAAGCTACTATTTACCCCCCAGCTGAACATCTCCTTCTTCAGTTCTAATATTAACCCAGTTAAAAATAGGTGTTTTATATTTAAACCTCTGCTTCCTGAAGTGACAGTAGGTGGGGCAACTTGTAACATGATCAACAATTACAGCATTATCTCTACTGGAATCCATTTATGTCAGCTCCTAACAATCAAAACATAACAACCTTTTGGAAGTGCCAGTTGCTTTAATTTTAACAAAAATAGCAAGGATGTTATTTAAAAGGCACGTGAGCCCTGATCATGTGCATACTCACGTACATGTATGTGCATAAACAATGTGCAACATGAAAATATAGGCATCCTGGTATGCAGCCTGATCCCTGAAGCATTGTTTGTGGAAAGGGGTGGTGTGCATGTAATTTGTATGGGGAATGGCAACATGGAAGGGTTGGAAACCCAAGGCCCTGTTTTCAATTCATAACTTGTGATTTATCTTTATAATACACCAAGAGTCATATGAAATCACCAGAGCCATTTGAAATGCACAAACTTATTCAAGACACTGTCAGAGAAGGTGTAGGATCTGTAGGAAACCCGTGCCTTTCTGGAGTGGCAGCTGAAGAACATTCAGAGTAATTAGGGCACTTCTAGTGGACCTGGACCATTTTGGATGAACAGCTAGGTTGAGCTGCGTCTTCCACCTATAGTCAATTTTTTTCCAAGTTATTTTTTCATAAAACTGAGGGGCATGTTAATTGTTATGGGAAGTTATTGGTCCTTAGCAAGCTTATATAGTGGCTCATTTCTACAGCTGTGCTGCATATTTCACCTGTGACTCTTTTCACTAAATAAGTGACATTGCCTGAACATACCTCACAGTAAAATATAGATGTTTAAGTGCTATGAAATTGAGAATTGTGTTCAAGACCCCATTAAATACTAAATTGCTGAAAAAAAAAGTGCTTAGGACACTTCCACTACATTGCAAATTGTCTGAACAGTATGGGCCATGGAACTGAGAGAGTCATTTTTGATGTATGTTGAAGGAATTGGGCTTACCTATGTGTCAGACTCTCAGGTCTGTCACAAATTTCTTTAAAAAAGACCAATAAAATTCTGTAGAAACTACAACATTTTCGTGACATCTTTAAATTAGTGAATGGGGTTTGTTACCAACCCTAAGCATTAAGTCTAGAAAGGAAGAAATACATTTGCTTTTAGACAATTTGCCCCATGGGAAGCATGGTTTCTCATTCTCCAGATTTATATATGCGTACATACTAACATAGGCCCAATTTTATTCTGCTCACCTTGAAAGACCTCACATTAGATGTACAATTGCTCCTTATCCAGCCTTTGAGATTACATCAAAACTGTGAAGCCACCAATGGAAGGTGGCATGGCCTATGTACTCCCATGTACTGATCCTGGAGAATCTCAGGTAGGAACGAGCCTGGCATATGCCATGATCCAGTTCTGGTTGCCAGAGTTTTCTTCCTGTGAAAATCAAAGCATGGGAAGGCAGCTGGGACATAGATGCCTTGTAGATACGGAGGAAGGTATCCTTTTCTCAATACCAGTACAAACTTGAAGACAGATACCAGTTGCAACGGTAGCCTGAAAGAAGGTTCTGTAGGTACTACACTTTTTTTGTGTAATACTTTACTTAAGTACTCACAGATAGGGGGAGGTTGTGTGGGTCTTTGGAAATACGTAGTCTCCTACAAGGAATATCCTGACAGTTGCCATGCAAACAACCTTTACAAATCAATGCCAGTCTTTTCTGACACACAACACCTGGCTCCTTTTCTGTAGTGAGAATGGCTGGACCATTGCAGTGGTGCACTGATTTTTGTGGATGGTGAACACAAAAAGGGGACTGAGAAGACACCACCTGAGTTATTCTGACACATGACTTGAGTGCTTTCTATTCTTAGACAAATGAGGATCTGAATTATGTAAGTACACCATCATTGTTTCTTAGATTTATGTGTAAAAATGAGAGAAGAAAAAAAAAAAAACTTTTAATCTATTGTGTGTATGGGATTTATACATCTATCATTTTCTTTCATTGTACTTTTATAGTTCAGTGGAGTTGATAAATCAAGCTATTTCTTGTGATATTACAAAGCATCATTATTTGTCTCTTGATTTCATGCTTTTTTTCTTTAAAGAAATGAAAAGAGCAAAACCCACAGAACTAAATTTGGAGTGTCATTTTAAATTTATTGTTTAATAAATTGTGATCACTTGAAGAATCTATTTTTTTCTGTATTGATAACAAGAGATTTAACCGAAGTGATTGAATCAAGACAAGAAATACAAGGTTCCCAAAGCTTGAATAAATGATATTGTCATGTTAATGTGCTGTTCTGGAAGTTCATTTGAAGTGTAAGAAATAATCCACATATAATTTCATGACAGTTTATATACTCCTTAACATAATTTATTCTTGACTACAGAACCTTTATTCAATCTTTCATGAGCATTTCCTACTCACCAACAAAATTCACCTTTTTTACGTTCTGCACTCCCAGTGCAAAGATAACACTTTCTTCACATGTACAAGCTCTATATTGACTTCCAAATTGACAAATTTATCTTGACTTCCACCAACACTTTTGCTGAATGAGCGTAACCACCACTGATTTTACAATACCATGTGGATCTACTACTTTTGACTCATCTAATGATGCTGCATAAGATGCCTTTTAGAACTGTATTATCTCCCATATAACATTATTTGTGCTTAACAAATAATAAATAGACCTTGTCAGCCACAGAATACTGTACCTTGGTTTTTGAAATGACTGCAAATCCCATGGTATTTTGGGAAGTAAAAAAAAAATAATAATAAAAAAATCAATAGACATCTGAAATGTTCTTAAAGTGATACATACACCAGCGTTTTAAGCAGCCACAGAAAAGATGGAGAAACACGATTAAGTTTATTTCTACAACTTACAGTCAGCAATTCCACATTTCAAAGTATAGAAACAAATTAACAACAGCTATAGTTGCCTGACTTGTAAGGATGGGGTTAAGAGTCTTATAACATTTCTGTTTTTGAAGCCCAGAACAGGAGAATGTCTTTATTCAGAGAAAGCTTCAAAGTATAGCTTTATATTTTATATATGTACTGATTTTCCACTTTTCCACTGGTTTTAAACAAGAATTGTATGCTTGTATTCTTCCCTTGGTCCAGGCTATAATTATATATTTCAGATTATGGTGTTTATATAGTAATGAGAAGATCCTGAATTCTTGCAGCTTAGGGCAAGTTCTTGAAAATACACATTTTAACAGTGACAGACAGGCTGTTCTTAGTATGTCTTTATTAAAATAAATGTGTTTTAAGGATTTTTTTATATATATATCTCTGACTGTAGCTCACTGATTTGCTAGAGAGTAGTATAGCAATAATAAGGGTGAATGGGGAATAACATGGGGGTAATGGCTTTAAAATAAAATTAAAAAAAAAATGTAGATTTATGTTAGACATCAGGAAGGAAGTTCTTTACTACAAGGGTTGTGAGGCACTGGCATGTTGCCTAGAGGAGCTGTGGATGTCCCATCCCTGGAAGTGTCCAAGGACAGGCTGGAAGGGGCTGGGGGCAGTCTGAGCTGGAGGAACGTGTCCCTGCCCATGGCAGGGAGGTTGGAATTGCATTACCTTTAAGTTCCCTTCATAACAACCCAAACCATTCTATAATTCTATGAATAATGTTATTATATCAAGCCTCTTTTTCTTTCAGGGATTCCCAGAGATATTTCAATAAAAAGAAAGAATAGCCTAAGGTTCTCACCTGTGTTAGAGGGAAAAACAAGTTTTTTTCAGGACAAAAAAAAGTGTGGCAGGTCAATGGTGGAGCACTCTGTTTTCCTTTTAAAAAAATAAAAAATAAAAGTAATGAAAAGACTGTGAATGGTAAAATGGAGCAGTTAGCTATTTTGTCAGCTATTTTGTCAGACATGAAGATATGAAAAGGATGTTGGCGATACCATGAAATATCTCCATATCTCCAGTTTTTCTTTCAGAATTTGCTCGTTCTCATTCCTGGAACTTAAAGCCCAACAAGTATCAGGACTTTCTAAAAAGGAAGGACAAAACTCAATTAGCAAAAATTGTACTGTTTCCTTTTTTTAAAATAACTATCAACCTAACTTAGACTTTTTTTGACAGCTATGGAAACAAGCCAAGATGATATTAAAATTGGTATTGTGCTGGGGGTAACCATTCCCAGCCAGATGTATTGTACATACCCTGCTGTGCTGGGGGTAACCATTCCCAGCCAGATGTATTGTACATACCCTGCTGTGTGTATAAGTATTTATAGATACGTCTATACAACACAATCAATCAAGGCAAAAAAAAATTATATATATATATATATATATATATATATATATATATATTGGAAGGTGTGTTGATATCTGGTTGTCCATGGCTAAAACATACAGTATTAATACTTTGTACTAGCAAATGGAAGTGAAGAACATAAATGAAAAGTTGTTCCCGTAGTGATTCAGTTTTTCAAAGACATTAATCTGTACTACGTATCTCATGGAGTGAATGGGGGATCCATTCATCCTCACTTTCAGTGGTTACTACTTGATAGTAAATCATGTCCACAACTACCTATATATGGGATTCCTAGAACTGGGGTGAATTTAAGTTATCAGAACCACAGATCTACTCCCATGCTGCCAGGATGGAGATTTACATTTGAAATAAGAATTGGTTTATAACCTTGCAGAAATGAACAAGGATAATAAATGGATCAGTATGTCTGGCCAGTTTTGAGTTCTGTAGAAGTGTTGCCACATAAGAATTTCCTGTGAGGTACTCACATATCAGTGTGATTAGCCTGGTAGAAAGACCTCTGTATTGGGGAAGCAAGGTCAATGGTCCTGGAACAAAAGGAGACATAAAGATTCAATAATAATATCTTATTATTCTATCAAATGATGTCTGCAGAACACTTTAAAATCATTATATCAAGGACAAAGGATGCTATATATATAGTAAGAGGGTAAAGGCTGACATTTCTATGGTGCATTTAATTAGCAGAATTCCATGCAAGCCTGGCCTTTGGAAGAAAAATAATCTTTGGTTGCACACTGGGCATGTTGAGAGTTTCCATAATAAACACACAGGGAACCCCTCTAGGGCACCTACTGAATCAAGGCTATTGTTTTGCTGGTGCCCTGTCCTCAAAGACCCTAAGGTTGAAAGACATTCTATAAAGTGAGCTCTGTTTTGCTTATTACAAGTAGGGGGTTGATGGAGACATGAAATAGCAGCAATCATTGATCATTTTTATTAAAGGTGCTTCTCAAGTTATAGGAGCCCTTGACATTAGTGAATTTCAGTGAGGAGACAACATACCTAGGTGGGAATATTTCCCCAAGCAAGTACAAGCAATATTCATTGGGACATGTTGTTTTTCCTTGTAGTAAGGAGTGATCAGATGAGCAGTAGTTAGCACATTTTTATTGGTTCTACTAAGAAATCAACAGTTTCTTCTTCTGTTGGTGGTTACCATCCCCTTCCCTGAGACATGCTAATTTAAGGTACCCAGGCTGTCAGATTAACAGACTGAAAAATAAAGCCACCTATTTTCTCATGTAAAGGTTCACTGCTATTGTTATGAAAAAGGGACACAGGCAATGATCAGAGATGATCATCTGACCGTATTCTCAGTTCTCACTTTTTATCCCATGTGGTTTGTTCTCTCTTCAGTCACTGTTTCAGTTACGGATCTTGCTCTGCAGCTGAATTGAGGAATGTTTTGGGGCCTAGTGTGGAGACCACAGGGCAGAGATGTAGTAATCTTACATCTATTCTGGATTTGTAAGGAAGTCTTTAATAGATTATAGTGCTCTATCTTGCCTGTTTATAAAAGGAAAACAATGGGATAGGACTAATATTTGTAAAGGCCTTTGAGATAAATAGAAGAACCTTCCCCACCTCCTTAGAAGTCACATGCTTTTATTATTTATTTATTTATTTAATCTTTTTCTTTCCCCCCTTCATGGTATAGTCTTTCTAGAAAATAAACCCTGGATGGGCACAGGTGATATACTCAGACCTTTGCAGCCTCTACTATATAAATTGATTTCCAGGGCCCTATCCTTTAGCTGAAAATAGTAAACTAGTACTACTTGTTTCATTAGACATGGATCATTTCTATAGTGCATGGCTTACATTGATCCAGGAAAATTTATCAGAAGGATTTGGGAAAGACAGAATGCTACAAAACTGACAGATGAAGCTGATGCTGTTTTTACAGGTGGAACAAGAAAAAATATATTTGCTGATGTGCACAATACTTTTCCTCAGATACAAACCTGTCAGAGTAACAACATCATATGGACTGAGACACAGAGCTCTCCTAAAAACCAAAAACATCTTTAGAAATTGAATATTTATAACTGAATTAACAAGACTGCCACTATGGTAGCTTGAGGTTTGAAGTCAGTCTTGGAGAGTACAAATTGTATAATGGGAGAAGTTGTATAATGGGTTAAAAAATGAATAGTGTTTTTCCTTCTTCCTTCCTTCCTTCCTTCCTTCCTTCCTTCCTTCCTTCCTTCCTTCCTTCCTTCCTTCCTTCCTTCCTTCCTTCCTTCCTTCCTTCCTTCCTTCCTTCCTTCCTTCCTTCCTTCTTTCTTTTCTTTCTCTTTTAGCTTTTTCAACATGAAGATGATCAAATCTTAGAATAGCTTGTGCAATGAAATTGTGTAAGTCCAGTGAACTTGTGTAACCTCCACCCTTGTCAAATAATGGGATAAGTCCTTTATTATTTATTAATAATATAATATTAATAATATAATTTATTATTTCGAGTGACCTAATCTAAGTGGACCTGTTTATGAGCTGGAGGTTTAAGTACAGATCTCCAGCTAGCCCTGACAAACCTGAATTATTCTGTGTTCTATGAACTACGAAATGACA